AATTGCAGATTGAAACGTACATCGGTACATCGATATTCTCCTCACACGATATTTGGTTCGATAGTTTAGAGTTTAAACATTCGACAATTTGCTATACCTATCCATTCTCGTAGAATCAGCTTGACCGCTGACATCTATTGTCATTTTATTCGCTAACACCCGGAAACATGTACGACATGCATTTCTGTCTATCGTGTCTCGAGTTCATACGGAAGATCCATTCGTTTTTTTTCTTTTTTCAGAGACACGAATCATCCATGTACATATGACGTGATTATTTGCATCCATACGATTGGAAACCGCATAAATCAGATCTTTCTGGAGAGTTAACTGCGAACAGTATTTTATTTTGTAAAACATTTGAAGAGTGCAGAGAAAGAATGTTGATTTAACTAATCAAATATACCATCTATTTCTAGAATAAAATTTTGATTGTGACGAAATTTTTTGGAAAAAAAAAAGTTATCTACGCGACTTCCAATCGTACTGATTCATCTAAATTGAACACTTAAATCTTTCGCTTAAAATTACGAGCGAAGTTCCGAAAAGTGTATTTATCTTGAATTATTTTAATCTCATAATAAATAATAAAATCATTTAAAATTTTATTTAATATTTTGGATCGCAAATTAAATAGAGCATGGAGAGCATGGAGAGCAAAATATGGTAATGATAAATTATTCTTTTCATTTTTCCGTGGGAGACGTCGTCGGCAAATTCGTAGATGGGGTGAAAACCTTTTCGGAACTTTAGCCAAAATTACAATTACTTACCGTAAATACGCGCAACGTTGGACCGGTCTCAAGTGTAAATATCGATTTTTCGATAACGCGTGTGTAAAAATTCAGAAGCGATGCATCTTTTCTTTTACTTTAAACACTGAGATGTATAAAAATTTAACAATCAAAGCTTGCTGGTCTTCATGTATGTTTTTTTTTAATATCCCGAAAACGAGATATTAATTCGATAATCATTTAAAAGACTCGATTTGTGCGGATTCGTTTTCTTTTCGACGCGAATCAGGTTGATAAATCTATAACTTGACGGTATCTTGAGAAACGTGTGATTACCTATTTGCGTAGTTGTTTGAAAATTCCAGGCGCGAGTACGGAGGTTTTGATTTCGTTACGCGAAGAGTGAAATAGGACGACGCCAACATCTAGTTGCGAGTTCCCGACATTCCCGAGTTATACGTGATTCGAACTGGATGATATAGGGATGAATTCTTATTGAAAAAGACTTCATAAGTTTTAGATTTTTACAATACTTATCCAACTCTGTGAAAAAGTCTATTACGTATCGGGATTACAATAATAGAAAAACGAAATGATCTTTAGAAATGTATCTGTAACTTGTTTGCATCACATGATAAAAAAAAAAGATTAAAATTCTTCTGAGAAGGATTTATTCTTTATTTATGAAAGAAAACATTAAAAAAGAATTGATAGATAAAAAAAGAATCGTGATAGATTCTTGTCAAATTGTTACTCAAATAGGCACGTAGGCAACTTTTATCGTAAGCAGCGTCTGATTAGTTAAGTTTAGATCAGTGAGCGCTGAGTGATTATTTATTACGATTGGCTTCTATATTTAGTTTCAATGTAGAATTAAAAGTGAGAGCCAATTATACTCTTTGTAGACACACGTATTTTTACTTCGTAAGCATTTTAAATCATTTTTGTTCAGCTCTAATTCTTTACTGTTCTAGACTCAAAAATCTAAAAAAATTCAAGATTATTTTTGCTACATTTTTCTACTACATTACCAAACAGTTATTTAACTCAAATGTTAAAACCTTTATTCAATAAAAATTCAAATTTATGCAAACAAATTTGAGAGTGAAATTTCGCCTGAATAAAAAAAAATTCAGCATGCCTACAAAGAGTATATTAAATTAATAATTATTGAGCGCTCATTGCACTGTTTTGGTTGCTGACGCAAACCTTTAGATTTGTTCGCATTACTCGAACTTTTTGCACTTAACATCTTCGTTTTCTCTCTTTTTAACATTTGAATATATATTTATTTCATTTTAAGTGCAAAAATTTGTGAAGATTTCAAGCAACGACAGATCTATTTCGTTATTTTTGAAGACGTAAACGGGACTGGATCACAGAGACCGCAGTACATTAAAAAAAAAATTGTTTATTTGTTTAAATTAATTTAGTTCGTCTGTCTTTTTTTTATGAAGAATATATTTAAGAATATATTCTTCGTATTATATTTGACTTAAATTATACGTACATTCTACAACGAAAGATATAAAGACGGACTAAATTAATTTAATCAAATGAACAATATTTATTTCTTAGTACCTGCTCACTACGATCAGCATTTGTATTGAGAGCATCCCATATACGGAAAGCTCCGGAAGAGACAAGAGCGAAACCCGGGGGACTTCTTGCCACAGCATGGCATTATCGCTGTTCAGACAGTTCTGCAATCTGCATGAGGTTGCTGCATCAGTGGAAATCTCGTCGAGAGCGTACCTCATTCTGCTCGTCTCTCTCTCCCTTTCTTTCATTCTTTCTATCTCTTCGTCTATTTGACGAAGACATAAGAATGCAGACACCCACTGGCCCTGCATTCTCATTTTTCTCCCCTGTAATCCGTGCTCCTTTATCGACGAGACACGACTTGGGGCGCATCAAGATGTTCTCCACGAAGACAATTTGAGAAAACTTTTCTGACGGACAAGTATATGGTGAAAGGGAATAGAAGGATAGAAAGAGAACGTTAGTATCGTACTCGAACATCTCTCAATGCGGTCAAAGAGATGCCAAGGAGTGCGTCAAACGGATGCGCGTCCCTCAGCTATCGGAAAAGTATTTACGGAAAATCCTAGACTTGGTTCTCGCACGAGAGATTCTGATGTACCGCCATTCTTTCTCTTTTTGTCTGTTACAGATTTCGTTGGGATGTGCGCTATTAAAGAAAGGACAGGAAAGACACGTATTTTTGCAACGGACGCAAAGTGATCTTAACAACTTTAACTAAAACTACGGAAGTACTCTTTTCCTCCTATCTTTTCCTCCTTTTACGCCAAATCTATTCAGAAACTTAAATCATAAAAAGTAATATTACGTTTGGAAAGTAATAATTGTAAATAAAACGCTGTTCGACACTCAAATTCTCTTCGAAATGTCCTAGTATATATTTTATCCGAAAATTTTTTTCGCGCTGAATACGAATGAATGATGCCGGCAGAATTTGTATTGGCAGAATTTGTACGTCAAAATTTTGAAAATTGGAGTGAAATAAACAAAAAAATAACTTTTGGCTATTTTTTTTATCGACAAAATGAAACTTTACTACTGTGGCATCTAAAACTATAATTCAACAGTTTTCAAATGACTTTCAGTTCATTGTTAGATAATTGTTTATTTTTATCAAGATATAGCTGTTTGAATGTTAGACTTTCTGTATAATTACGCAGTTTACAATAAAAAATCACTTTTTTCTCTTTTTGAAGTACCATAATACATACTTCGAAGATTTTTTTATGCTGAATACGATGCTGTCGTCAGAATTTGCATAACACATCAAGATTTTAAATAAATTGGACAGTAAATTGAGATGATTTTTTACTTATTTTTCTTCAATTTACTAAAAATTCTGAAATTATGCTATGTAAATTCTAATTATAACATATTCAGTGTGAAAAAATCTTCGGAGTACTATGGAGCTTCGAAAAAAAAAAAGAAATGATTGATTGTGAGTTTTGTCGAATACAATAATTATTGAACATACAAAATATAATTATTTGCTAATATAACTGTGTAAATATCTAATGCAGCTATTTTAAATAGAACATTTGAAACAGACTTTTTAATGAAAACGGATGTAAAATTACCTTGTTTAGCGAATTTGTTGTGAGAGGGAATACGTGTTGAGCATATAATTCAAGAAAATATCAGGGAAAAAATGAACTCGTCGTCGCAATACACGCATTTTGTTCGCGGCAAACTTTTTGCGCTCGTTACAAAGGTTTTTGATTAAAAACCTTGCGGGGCGGGATGTCCACGAGCGAGGGTCCACGAGGGAGAGAAATCTCCTAATGGGTAATTCATTCTCGACGAAGGAATAAACGACAGCAGACGTCGCTGAAAAATATTCGTGGGACCGACGATCCGAGGAATTTATAAGGGAATAGAACAGAAGAAGCTTCTGCAGGAATCGCAGATGATATCGATGTTTCTCTTGCTCTCTACCTCGCTACGCTTCTCACGATCTGATTCCCTTAAAAGTCGAATCATAAATTCCGTGGTTCACAAATTGACGTGGTATATGTTCTTCCTATGCGATTTACCTGAGACCGGAAACGCCGCGAATCTAAATTGCAATTCTGCCTTCTATTGATGTTGATCGATCCACAAGTATCCACAATGACATTAAGTTAATTATGACAGAAATTTTCGATGTCAATGATCCGTCGCCGTGTAGTGTAGTAATTTTAACCCTTTGGATGCGACTTCCTTGTTTTTTCGATTAAAATTAGTTCGTGTATCGATTGACACGCACTGAGAGTATGTTAGACTGATGAAAAAAATAATTCTCAATAAATAGAACTTTTTAATTGCTTCGTGTGAGATTAATTTTAAATTTAAAAATTGCACTGCTGAATACATTTTATTAATATTAATCCTTAAACGCTTTTACGTTATTATCAGCTTTATTTTTCCAATGCTTTTCCAATGCTTTTTTCATTGCTTTCGATTTTTTTCATTAATAAAGGTATGAACAAACATTTATTTGGTACCGTTATGTCCCTAATGTCTGGCATTTTAATTTAATTGAAAAAAATTTACATTTATGTCAATTTTTATGAAAGTTATATGCAATCGATCTGAGTTGCTATACTGATCAGTGTGTTGTTTCTATAGTGTGGCGTTTAAAAGTTAATATGTGTAACAGTTTGTAACCACGTAGAGAATATTTGTTTTTTTTTTATTTAATAATAATTTAAAATAATTAAATAAAAACAGTTGTTTATGGTGTAATAAATCATAATATAAATTTTTTGAAAGAGAGATACGTAATTAAAAATTATTCCATGCAAGAACTTAAATTACGCAGAATATCGCGACGGGAAAATTATTATTTAATTCGGCGTGAGGGCATCTTAAATACATAACTAACGTAACACGTGTACGTCGAGTGCAGTCAATGGATTTCCGTAACTCGGTGTAATGTTCTGAGATTACTCGCGCGGTAGCATCCAAAGTGTTAGTATAATCGCGTTAATTAGTCCGAAACACAGTCGGGCGCGATCTGGTGATCTGAGTGTCTCGAGATCGATCGATCGTCCGTCTGATTTCACTACTGCCAGGATCTGAAGAGGACGCTCGACGAGAACAAGCCGACGAGGGTCATCCAGACGACGAAATCGAGCGCGCTCCGTCTTGATCTGGCGCCGCCGTTCACGCAAGTCTCACGGATATCGTTGATCTTCAGACCGCGGCGTCCCAGGAGATTATGAACGCCTCGTTTGTCGCTCTTCTGCAGAGTGTGCTCACGTGACAATAGGAGGGAATAGAGCTGATGGTCGGGAGTCCGGGAGCAGAAAGTCAACACCATGTCCGAGGCAACGGCCTTCATTACGTGCACACTGCCGGAGAACTGTTTGTAGTCTGGCCTCTCCGCCAAGGTACCTGCAAATTAAATCAGAAACCGGATTAAAAGAAGCATGCGAAGGGGATACGCAAGATGCGAGGTTGGAAAGGGATGAAAAGGGTGAGAGGAAGAGGCCTCCCTATCGAATTTCCTGCCCTCGGCTTTTCGCGTCAGCTTCCGTCCGCTGCACGAAGTAGAATCTCTTGTACAAACGGAACTGTCGCGACTGTAGAAATAAATGTCTGTCGACGACAAGTCTATTTTTACGAAGTAGTTTTATCTTTGCGTGGAATGCTTTCGAGTAAAATAGGGAGAAGACTATGCGAGATAGAAAGCGCACTTTGTACTCACGGATTTTTGTTTCATGTGAAAAGACATGATATGAAAGATAAAAACTGACGAAATTGAAAGACTTTCCGCATCTAGAGATTATTTAAAGATTCTAATTATCAAGCTTATTTAAAGAACACAAATGTTCTTAGTGATGTTTAAACGAAAATTCTGAGATGTATTCGGTGAATTTATCTAGTAATTAGATTTAGTTGACAAATTTGATACGTACGTATTAATGATAGAAATGATAAATGAGACTTTGGCCCATAAAGCTTTTTGAAATAGGCATCTAAGATATTGTCAGGCTAGGATAGCGCGACAATGAAGAAGGATCGAACAAGTAGCGAAAGCTTGACTTTCCAATTTCCTGCTTCTACTGATACGGCGAAACATTATATAGTTCACTTATATAGAATATATGCTATGATTTTCTATATAAATATATAATATAACTTATATATATTATCTCTCTCTCTCTCCAATTTTACGTGCGTATACAGTGGATAAAAAAAGTATTTGACCATCTCGTTTCTTTTTTTGAAAAAAATTTTATATAACAAGGAAAAGTGTTTCTATAATATATTATATATTTTATTCATACAGTATACTATAAGTAAAATATAATTTAATAAAAATATATTATCATATTACTTTCTTGCTAGTATACAATTTTTCCAAACAAGATAGGATGCGCAAATATTGTTTCACATATTGTACGCGTGTGTACTGCACTATGCCAACGATATTAAAAACTTATTACATTTTCAAGTTTTGTATTGATCGCTTAACCTTTAGGGGTCACTGCACTTAAAGGTATAGTGTTCTTTAAAAGCTAGAAAAGAAAAAGAAAAAGTATCATCCAGATGCCCAGAAGTTTTAAAGTTCATTATTTTTACATTTCTTTACTTCAACAGTATTAATGTAATTAATGTAAATTTAATCGTAATAGTGTAGTAAAAAATATAACTAATATAAAATTAAAATTGTTCTTAGAGTGTTGTGAACACTTCACCTATTAACTTGCTTTTTTATTATTAAAGCTCGTTTTCACAATATAAGATTACTTAAAGATTAAAGATTATCTCGAATTCACGAATGAATTTCACTGATGAATCTCTTGATAACTTTAGGTAACCTTATATTGTGAAAACGGGCTTTAAAAGTAAAAAATACAAGTTAATAGATGGAGTGTTCAAAACATTCCTCAAAAAATTTTAATTTTATTGTTATAAAAATCATCAATTTTTTTACTAGTATATTATAATTACATTCACATTATATATATTTTCTTATAAGATAAAGGAATGTGAAAATAGTATAATAACAATAAATTTGAAAACTTCTGGGCATTATTTTTATTTTTCTTTAAAGAAAATTATGATATGAATTTGTGTGACACACTTCATATGAAAATGTGTTGTTACACAAAATTGATATATGATATATCAATTAAGCTTTTGAACTCAATTAATTTGAATTCAATTTCTGTATATCTATATTCTGTATAGTATTTAAGAAGTGATTAAATAGCTTGGGTAATGAGTACGAGCATTGCGAAGCAATAAAAAGGCTGATACGAGTAATACGAAATTACAAAGAAGCCAAAGTGTTTCCTTTAGAAACTTCCACAGCGAGTAACAAATAGTGCACAATACCATTGAATTTAGTATCATTTATCACGGACTTGGCACTTTTATCTGAACACGTTTAATGGACTAAGTCGAGGCTTTGACAAATGTAAGTTGCAACCACTTCACCGGACCCCAAGACATAAACTCCAACCTGTGCAATGTTTAATCTGCAGAAATGTTTGATCTAAGTGAATTGACTAGAATAAAGTGCGATCAGTGTTTCACACTAGATGTTACCATGTGCCTTATATAGAAGACGTACAAAAAAAAATGTCGAGTCCTATTTTCATTTATCACGCATTATTCTTCGTGTCTTACAGTTTATGTATATTTTACTACGCAGAACGGTTTTATTCTCTAATGTAAGAATCTAAAATTTATAATTGGATACAGATCTAAAAATAATTTTGTTTGGATCATTAAAATAACTATGTAATGCTTAAAGAGCTTGTTAGAAATGTTAAAGCTTTTCACAGAATTGTCGAAGCTTAAATAATTATTTTGATTTCAACAAAATTATTTTCAGATCTGTATCTGCCAAAATTTTTGAATATTTTAGCAAAATTATTTACTATATTTATTAATGCACTTCCCATATATATTTAATTTGGTCACGATTATTATCTGCGAATATAAGACTTGTTGACTAAATATTGACGAATTAATTTGATTATGATTCCACTTGCTGGCTTAGCAGTTCAAACGGATTCGATGATCATTCGTGACAACTCGAAATATACGGGTATACCGTGGAAATACGCAGTATTACGGCTCATTACATAGTTGAGGACGTACTTAACGTTATGAAGGGAAATATACGGAGACGAGACGGCGAGCACGTGTACAATCTATATACGCAATGTGCAACGACCATAAGCGATGCATACCACATTTCGCAGGATCATCGCACGATGTTGGAAATATTTCACTAGAGATAGCACTTTAATACCGGCATTTAGAAGCATCCGTTACGTTTCCATCTAAACTTATTTACAAAACGGAGCGACCGATTTACATACTGTTGGATCAACCGCTAATCTTTAATGTAACTTTAATAAATTTTTAATAATTTCGAAGTTGATCCTTTTTAAAGCAAAAGTATTGAAAAAAGTTTTATCGTACGACTTTCCAATTTTCTTACATTCTTATATTTTTCAAATACATACACTACATGATGTAAAAAATTAAATAGAAGGTTTTAAGAGATAATTTTCACATTAATTTAAATGTTTTCAAAAATTTCGAATTCTGTTCGGATCCTTTTGATGAAACTTTGTATATATATATATATATATAGAT